TTTTGTCAAAACCAGAAAATTACTGTTTGCTGTCTAGTAACCTACCAGTAGAGGAGACGTGTTGGTGGCACGGTTTCCCGGTAACCATTAGCCGCTTGCAGTCCTCAATCGAGAGGAGACGGGGATCAGTCACGCGCCAAAAGATACCGTTGACCAGGACAGACATGTAGGGAGCATACTGTAGGATGGAACAGAAAGCGCTAGCGTTAATGCGTGTAGCCTTTAGAAATAGCAGCTTTTAAGCGCAGCGAATTATGCATCAAACTAGTGTTACGTTCTGCATCTTACAATTGACTTTTGACAAGGTCAGTTTATGGAGCATACATCGAGGCCGATAATTTTGGCAGACTAAAATACCTCTTCAGGGAAGATTGTTCTGTAATTCTCAGGATGCGCCAAAAAGTCGGTCATGTCAAAGTTTCTGGTCTGCTTGTGACGAAGATGGTCCTTTTCGGAAATCACGACACCGTATATAATATCCGTCCCTTTTTGTGGAGGAAAAATGCATCGCTGGCATTAGTGACCCTCAAGAAGATATGAAAAGCATGACAAGTTTTCCAATTATCACAAACCATCAGCAAACCGAAATATTTTCAGTTAGTGGTACAAAACTTGAACCACCATAATAGCAAAGGCAAGAGTTTTCACAGATGGCCAAACGCGTCTAGCAATTTTATTGACAACTCTTCCAATTGAATGCTTTGTCTTGCGTCGTTTAGCAAAAAAGGGAGAATGTGAATGAGCAAGTACTTCGTGAGCAGAGTTTAACGGTTAATGCAGGTCACATTGCTTTGCAGCCCGTTTAGTTAATTGTGAAAGCTAAAATAGGCCTAGTTGAACAAAAAGTGCTTTCGGAGTTGAAATTCGATTTTGCATCTGCTGTGAATTATACTCCGGAATGTTACAGAAAAAAAAACCAGCCTCCACATAAGAACACATTTCAGACTCGTGGAAAGTTCCGAGGGTCGCTCGAATTCTGAGTGATAACCTGCGTGGAAAGTGATCTTTATGTGGTAGCTTTACGCCACATCGACTTCACTCTGTCTTGTCTGGTTCATCGTACGTAAAGGGCAAAACCCGGTCAGAAGGATAGGAATGTCGGAGCACAGCAGCTACGCGTTGCAGCCAACCGAATGAATATACGCGGGAGCCATGGTATTTGCAACAAACCAGCTGCAGCCAATGTCTTCACATTATGTTAGTGACATTTTATGAAGGAACCATTTTAATCTAGTCCTGGCTCAGCTCCTTGGATGTTTCTGTAGTTAGCAGCCTCACACGTTATGAGGTCTAAAGAGCCGTATGATACATTGTACGCCCACCTATCCCACGCCAACCATTCTAGTGTCTTTTGCTTATCAGACTCATTTGGCTATACAAGAAAGACGTCCGTGTCCACGTTGTGACTGACAAACTACAATATTATAGGGATCTACAAGGGAAAATGGCCTTACCAGCTAACAGTAACAGGAAGTCCCATTGACGGGGATTGCCACAAAGGCTGCATTAGGAGTGAGTCACTGCGGTTTGATTTCCGGTAAGGAATATAACTGGATTCTCGCGTCAACTGGCAACAATCCAGCCCACGACTAATAACCCGTTGTGGCCGGTTGGGTGTTCGATTACTTACAATGAAGAAAACAAGGGTTAGGTCCGACATGGATCGACCTTTGTCTCCAAATGTGTCATTCGGCTTCCTTGGATCAAACTGAATAGATAAAGTGGTGTTGGACGCAGTGGATGGCCTGGCGCAGACGTGCTGGGTAACTTGTGCCCCAAACAAGAAACAAGCACATAGACGCAAACATGAATTGTGTGCAAAAGATGACCTACTTCCATGCATGGCAGTCTCCTTCATTTCGGAGGGCAGAATAAACTTGTGCGGTAGGAGACGGAAGATGGCCCGTGCTCCCTGAGACACATTGCCTTGACCAGTGAAGACGAAGATGATAGGGCCGATCGAGCTGGGCATCTGATTCATGGCGATTCCGTAACCCGCCATCTTGATGGCCTGACGGGCTAGCTCCAGGGAAGAGTAGTTGTGTGGCATAGCCACGTTCTGGTGGTATAGAAAATGGGAGGTTATCAAGAGGAAGGTGAAAGAAGTGCTCATTACTCTACATTTACGTAATTCTGTCACTTTGGTTTACAGTTCTGTACAATTTTTGCAGTTGTTAACAAAAATATGATCTGCCTATGCTATGATGTACAGTTGTCGGTCAACAATCAGAAATAATGCAACTTGTTGACTGTAGCGAAAATTAAACTCCATAGGGTGAAAATGGTACTACGAGGAGGTCTATTTTTATTCGTAACGGCAACGGCGTTAGGTTGGCTACGCCCTACAAAAAGGCGAGAATCCACGTACCATGAAGGGCGTTGTGTGCCCCAAAGCCAAGAGACGCTGGCCAAGGCCGTGGAGGATGTTGATCATTCCGGAATAGCCGGCAAATTTGCCGAATGCCAATACACGGAAATTGTTTTCATTGACCATGCATTCGTAATCGAAGATACGAATATTCTAGTAGAAAAGAAGAGAAAACATAAAAACAGTCTGGTGATTCCATTTGGTTCACCAAAATACATTTTTCACATTCAGAGGGTATAGCTGACAACTTTTGAATGCAGTGTTTTTATAAGTACCTCTCAGGACCTCCACGAATACACTTACACATTGATCGCCGCATAGTTGCAGCTTCTGGAAAAAATCACTCAGCGGATGTGAACTGTTTTTAATAAAAGGTACCAGAGATACCATCGTGAAAGGGATCTTCGTCCATTGATTATATTTGTCAGCTGATTCGGAATGACGTTTAAGCTACCTTCTTTACAACCATCAACGTTAATGATGAAGTCAAAAACCAGACGAAGTAGACGCAAGACTTACTCCAAGAAATGTGCATTTTCAAATATTTAAATAGCGATTGATATTTCACAGTCGAGGTAAGAATGATATAAAAGTTTTTAACTTCAACCTCAAAGCGGGCTAGGACTTGCAACGTAAAGGGAATTAGTATAAGTAAGATGATATCTAAAACATAGAGTCAGAACGAGAAAAACATCATGCTGTCCAGAAGTGTTTGTTTATTCATGCGCCATTACCTTTTTTATTATTGTTCGGTGAACGGTTTCCCTTTTAGACATTTATACTTAGTTGCGTAAATAGATGAGCGATCACAACCACTGATACGGCAAGAATTAACGCGCTTTAGAGTCGTTTTAAGTAAAAGTGGACCCCAGCAAAACCTTTGAGGTAATTTATAAGGTCTCGCCAAACTACCCAAAGTCCCTGGGTCAGCGTTTGCTAGCAACTGCAGAAACAACCGCGATCGGATTGAGAAAGCCGGTTTTGTGCGCGCGAAAGAACCTCCTGCAAGCCCCGAGCTTGTCATGGCCAACCGTTACATAACTGCTTGCATTTTTCCGCGCTTTCTCCCCCTTCCACCCTCCCCCTGTCCAGATTCAACAAATCCTCATCGCCTCGCAACCAACCGAGTACTATCAACCCTACTCCATCCCCTATTTCCATGATTAATTTGCCTGTAACGATGAACATAATTGCCAGCATGTTATTTTTTACCCATTCCCTATATAAATGTAATGGCCCGAGGAGAATTTATCGAAAGGTACGTATGCTCATCAGATATTCTTCTTAAGTAAAAGTGTC